ACTGCACTTTGACGTGGTGTGATGGCTTGCGTGCCTCCATGACCCTGCGACCTATATAGGATTGCTCCTCACAGCCGCAGGTCTAATCATGCCTGAAAGGTCAACGGGCAGAGGCCAGGCGAAGCTCAGTCTCACAAAGCCAGCTGCTTGGGCACCCCCTGGCTTCCCTCTATCCACACCGGCCCCTGGAGAGGTCACTCCAGCAAAAAACACGGTGAGGGGCAGTTTACCGGTCAAAAGCCCTCGCTAGGTGGACGTTGGAGCGGGGTACCTGGGGTTTCCTCTCGACGGTGGGAGAAGTCTTCGCACTTCATTGGACAGCTACCGCCAACCCAAGCTGAGTAGCCCCCAGCCAATAAGGTGCTATCCCGTCCACGTTCCGCTTTTCTCATTGGGTGCATGAGGCTGAGAGTTGATCCCGAAAAGCGGACTGATAATCAACGCACCAGCGAAAAACACAATTAATCGAAATTCAAAGGCCTTGCGTGACAGGTCTCTAGAAGCTCCCATACAGGTGCTTCGTTCACGCTCCCACGGATTTACGCCCTACTGCCTTGCGGGTCAGATTTTTGAGTCAAAGGCTCCGGTTAGGGTTCCCAAAGGAAAGCCCCCTCGTTGGTGTGGGCCTCGTGATGTATGTGGTTTACCCTTTTGGAAAACCCTTCTTTGCAGCTGTCTAGTTCTTCGTTTCAATCCCGAATAATCCCAAACGCCTGCTGTTTATAAGACCCATCGCTCAGGCTTTACGAACAAGTCCAAACAATCAGAAGTTACAGAATTTTTGAAGGCGAAATTCCCTTTTCACTTAGCTGCGTTCAATGTCTGCACATTCTATCAGATTGGTTTACAAGCTACCTTAGCTGGAAGCTTTGAAACTTTCAATTTAGATGTATGTTGTCTCTGAAACACGCATACAAGACCCCACCTCCATTATCTCTCTACGTTCCCCTGATCCAACCTCAACCTCACACTTCGCTCTTCGTGTGTCAGGCGATTCGGCATCCGAAGCTCGCGGTGTTGCTGGTGTCGGGATTGCGCTAAGTGCCAAAGCTGAACGCTCGCTTGACTGGATTCCAGTCAGGAGCCGACTGTGCGCCGTACTTCTCAACGGTTCAGCGCGGGTCAACAGCTACAGAACGAAACGTCGATGTCTGTTTGTCGTGTTGGTGTATGTACTGACCGATTGCAGTATACCTGAAATCAAGGATGAATTCTATGAGGACCTTTCTCGATTACTCCAAAGCGTTCAATCAACGGACATCGTGGTAATCACCGGAGACTTCAATGCTCAAGTGGAATCCCTGGACGAATTAGAGAGGCTTCTTGGTGGACTATATGCAATTCCAGCCAACCGGACGGCCAACGGAGATCGCCTACTTCAACCGACCGACCACGGACTGTTCCTGTCAAGCAGGAACTTCTCGCACAAGAAACAACACCGCCTTACATGGAAACCGCCATCGTCTTCACGGCGCTAAACCCAAATCGACCACATCGCTATCGGTTACTGCTGGACGGGATCGATTCAAGACTACCACTCTTACTGGTCAACACCTGTGGATATGAACCATGCTTTGCTACGAGCCAAATTCTCCTTACTCCTGGCAAACAACCGAAAAAATGCCACCGAAAACGGATACCTACGAAACAACGTCAGCGATTGTTGCAAATCAGCCTTCGAAGCGAAACTTTCCGATCGCCTGTCAATTCAACCAACAGCTGAAGGACTCAATAAACACTCAAAGCAAATCAAGGAAGCTATGTAAGTATCAATAAAAGCAACGTCAGACCCTCACGCAAGCTCAAAACATAAACGATATTTCTCATCGACCTCGGCTGTCCTGCTGGACGACCGCAGAACCCTTCCTCCCGATGCCGCATAGGACACAGTGCGCAAATCCCTCAAACGCCAGCTCATCAAGAGTCTCAGGAATGGCCACCAGAAGTGGTGGATAGGAAAGTGTAGAGAGATGGAGAAGGTTGCGGCTATTGGTAATAGTCGCAGTATTTTGCGTCTAATTAGGAATACGGGTTCTAGGAAGTGGTAATTAAGGAATC